CACACACACACACACACACACACACACACACACACACACACACACACACACACACAGAGTGTGCCCCATCTATTTTGGGGGTGGCAGTATAGTTGCTTAGCACCGGCAAGCATAGGTGGCCTTTTTATGAAAAACTTCAAAAAAGAGAGACAACGAGTCGATGTTGCATGCAACTGGGAAACTCCCATTGCTACCCAGACATTGCATGTTTCCTCTCCTCTATCCCCTCCCTTGGTGTCGACAGGATTGTTTTTGTGATTGCGGGTGTTTAAAGTTTAAAGTTGTTTTGGAAAATCTCTGATAGGCTGTGTCTCTCTCCGTCTAAGGCTGTGACTCTCTCCATTCAAGAAGTTGATCAGTTGATTAGCAATGTTTCCCGAGCGTTAATAGTGCTTTCTGTCATTGCTGGTGTTCGTGGATTATCGGATAGCCCATGACATAGAAGCCACCAATCTATTCTCCCTATGTTTGTCGAGGGCGATAGGCCTTTTATCATCGAGTTCCACTTCAGGTTGCCAGTGGGCTTTGAATAGAGACGGAACGGGACTATCATCCCGAGTCCCCGCTATCAGGGATGTTGACATCAGCTCTGCTGGTTCTGTAGTCGTAGACACTAGACCACCGTCTTCAACATGGTCTCTCATCTTGGGATGAGTTCTTGTTCTAGACCTCCGTCTTCAGCATACTCTCTCATCTTGGGACTAGTTCTTGTTCGTGAGGCGTCGTAGTGACAGATTGCCTCAGAGTGACATACACCCTACTAGTGTTCATCGTTTGCGGTAGGCCATCGGGTTGATATCTGGCCTGTTTTAGCACAGGCTAACCCACCAGTACACTAGATGGCATTTCTGTCCCCGTTTGGGAAGAGAAATGAATGGAGGAAAAAGGGTGGAAGTGGAATGAATGGCCCTGGGCATGAGCCATAGCAGAGAACAAAAGGCAGAGAGAGAGAGAGAGAGAGAGAGAGAGAGAGAAAGACAGAGAATGGCTTGCAGGAACGGTTCCTGGAGGTAGAGAGGGAGAGAGGGAGAGAGGAGGAGAATGGATGAAGATTTGAAAACAAGAAACAAGAGAAGAGCGTGTCCTCTTCCCCAGTTCGTTTCCGGTGATTTTGCCGTTGAGTGATTGTATTTTTTATGCGATCAGCATGTGTTCACCCAGATTTGTTTTGTGTTTGCTAAACAACAGAAAAAAGGGCAACTCTGACAAAATGTTCCATTGGACTTCATTTTTTCCTTCTTTTGTGAAAACAAAGGCCCCGCCTTCGCGGCAAGCATAGACACGAGTTATGACAAGACAGAGACTGGACACTGAGGGAGATAGCATAGGCACGAGTTATGACAAGGCAAAGAGAAAGCTGAGGGAGATAGCAAAGAGAAGCAGACTAGGAAAGTTCACCGTAAACCTTGCAGCACTGATCACCATAGCGGGGGGCTGCATGGGCGGTCTCAGTGCCCTGATCCTTCCCCTTGACTATGTGCGATGGTTTTGTGCGTTCTCATCAGCAGGTTGGACACTGAATGTCTGCCCAGCATGCATTTGCGCGATGGATTAGGGCTTGCAACGTTGCCCGAAGCAAGCAAAGCTTGGCAGATTGAGGAGTCGAAACCGCTGACATTAAAGGCGCCGGTACACGGCCCCAGCCTTGCAAAACTTCTTTACGGCCTCTACTCAGAAACTGCCGGAGGCTTGGGGCTACCAGACCACAATGGCTGGCAGCACCAGCCAAAAAAGAAAACAAGTGCGCCGCTGGCAGCTCGGCCTGTCGCACATTTCGACTCCGCTGGGCTTGGGTGTACTGGTGGTTTAACAGCAGTGCGTGCATGTGGGTAGGTGCATGTGTGTGTGTGTGTGTGTGTGTGTGTGTGTGTGTGTGTGTGTGTGTGTGTGTGTGTGTGTGAGAGAGAGAGAGGGAGAGAGATTCAAGAATCATAGCAATGCCATGCCGCTCCACTTAGATGTGTGGCATACCAAATCTGACAATGACCAATCCCACGTTACATGTCTCTAAAAACCAAAAGCATCCACAATTGCACGTAGCCACTTCCCATAGCGACAGAGTCTGCAATTGCACATACCCACTTCCCATACTAGCACCAACAGAGTCTGCACTTGCACATAGCCACTTCCCATGCTAACAGAGTGAAGTTCATACAAACTTCGCAGATAAAGAACACCCAAAAGCAATGAATTCTCGCATTCTGATTTTTCTTTCTTCTTTGTCCAGACTCTAAAAGCCTGCGTTGCTCGCGTAAAGAGTAGAATGTATATAAACGTAAAAACGGATTACTGGGGCAAAATTCTTGGGGCTTCAGTCGAGAGTTTTGTCTTCAGATTCCAGACCAGGATTTACAAGGCCTCGCTTTCAAAGAATTATGGTAAGATGCGTGCACTTCAGACAAGACTGGCACAAAGTTTACACGCCAGATATAGTGTACAGAAACAAAGGTCATATAAGGATTTGGGATAGAAGGAACACGAGAGCAGAGTGATTCAGTGGACTTGCACAGACTCGTCAGGATCATGCACCCTCTACGTCTGCGGAAAATCCCCCACAATACGTTGGTAGCCTGCTTCAGCACCGGTTTCGAGTGGCAAATACAGCAAAGCATTCAGTGTGTCACGGACAAGCAAACTGGGAACAAGGCATATGGGGCAGGCAGGTGGGTAGGCACACGGTAGGGAGGGACACACAATGCACAGGAAGGCACTCAAAGTGTACTGCCATCAAACTGATCGTAACTTCCTGGGCCCGAAAAGATCGCCTGTTTGCATTTATAACTGGGATGTGTTATGTTTAGTGACACTGTTTCGTCGGACTAACCTCGGATCATCAGGAGACGAAACATGTGCAGGAAACCCCAAACCCTAAACCCTAAACCCTGAACCCTAAAACCCTTAACTATCAAGAGCTAGGAAACCATTAAACAAATGTCTGCTGTCACCCAGGAAACTGGGGGACGCAGCCACCCGTTATTCCTGCACTACCTCTGAGTCTCTCGTTGCTGAGGCGGTGAAGAACTCGCCATTCTGCGCTGATGTGTCAGTGTGACTTTTTTTTCTATTTTGGGCCGTGCTGCCGTCCATTTGGCTCTGGTAGTACTGTATATCCGAAGAACCCGGAATGTAACATTTCAGTTTTTCAAGCTTTTTTTTTTTTTTTTTTTTTTCCCTGAACGACCCGAGTGGATGCTAGGGGCGCTGATAAGAGCAGACGCCTCTTGCATGCTCGGGGAGGCTCCATCTACTGGTGGGGAGCAACACCTGCTGGAAAACGGGTCCAGCGTCCCTATGAACAGCCAAAAATCATATAAACATGCCACGTGTCGTTCCCTGGGTTGTGCTGGTTTAGTAGTGTTGTGGGCACTCCATACAAACAGGCACCGACTATTTGGCATGTTTTGAACTACCAGTCCTAGCCACTGTGACCCCAAAAGACACACTTGTTTTGCTCAGGGCTCAGTCTACCTGGATCTGGAGAAGTTATCAGAAAGGTGCACAAAATTATGAGTTCCACAACTTCGTTGAATTTGTTTCATTCTCGTTTTCGGTGATGAAAAAATTTGAGGACAATCAGCGGCATACACTAGGCTTTAACTAAGACGAACGGGGCAAAAACTTGAAAAAAGTAAGCGACCAGCTAGTTATTTTGCTTGCGGAAAAGTGTTAGAATTTGCACCAAACCAATTGCATATTTCCTGCAAGTGTGACATCTCAGGCCAGGCAGGCCTGTGCAGGTGGGTTCTTTAATTCTCTAAAGAATAATTCTTATCAGAAATAACAACTTCATGAAAATTTTCTATACATCCTTCATCGAGAAGAATTTTCGATAAATACTTCTAGCAGCTCTGCTGGGACTGCTGCCGCAAATCATCCAAACTCACCCAAATGGGTCACACACACCCCAGATTTGTCCAGATAGCAGTCTGTTGACCCCCTCCGCCGTCCCACGGGTTGGAAATTGGCTTCCAAGATGGTTTGTCACGGTAGGGGGGCCAAGAACTGGTATGGCAAAGGAACGGTGAGGAGAGGCGGGAATTTGCGGGGGGGGGAAATGAAGTGCCAACTTCAAAAGTTCCATGGTCGGAAAATGGCTTCCCAGATGGTTTGTCACGGTTGGGGAAGGGAGCAACAACTGGTATGACAAAGGAATGTTGAGGAACGACTATTGACAAATAGAAAAAAAGTGCCAACTTCAACAATCTTTTGCGCTCGAGAAATGTGCCAGAAATTTTGAAGGAAAGAGCATA